AAAAAGAGTCAATAGCTAAGTAAAGGAGACACAAAAAAAAAAACTGAAGAAAATAACACCTCAAAAAACAGACTAGGGGCAGCTAGGTGGCACAGTGGATAGAGCATCAGCCCTGAAGTCAGGAGGACCTGAGTTCAAATCTGGTCTCAGACCAGAGACTTGACACTTACTAGCTGTGTGACCCTGGAGGAGTCATTTAACCCCAATTGCCTGGGGGGGGGGGGGGGGGGGGACGGACAAAAAACCAACAACAACAAAAAACAAACAAACATACCAGACTAGGCCAAATGGTAAAAGAGGTACAAAAAGCCAATGAGAAGGAGAATGCCTTAAAAAGCAAAACTGGCCAAATAGAAAAAGAGTCATAAAAATTCACTGAAGAAAAAAACTTACAAAGTAGAATTGCCCAAATGGAAAAGGAGGTACAAAAGCTCCCTGAAGAAAATAATTCCTTCAAAATTAGAATTGAGCAAATGGAAGCTAATGGCTTTATGAGAAATCAAGAAACAAATAAAACAAAACCAAAAGAATGAAAAAAATAGAAGACAATGTGAAATATCACAACTTATCTGGAAAACAGATCCCGCAGAGATAGTTCAAAAATTACTGAAAGGGCAGCGAGGCAGCACAGGGGATAGTGGTTCACTGGTTCTGGAGTCAGGAGGAACTGAGTTCATATCTGGCCTCAGACCAAACACTTGACACTTACTAGCTGTGTAACCCTGGGCAAGTCCCTTACCCCCAAGTGCCTTTAAAAAAAAGAATCGGGGTGCAGCTAGGTGGCTCAATGGTTAGAGCAGTGGCCCTGGAGTCAGGAGGACTTGAGTTCAAATCCAGCTTCAGACACGTAATGCTTAACTAGCTGTGTGACTCTGGGCAAGTCACTTAACCTCAACTGCCTCACCAAAAAAAAAAAAAAAATTTATAGAAGGCCACAATTAAAAAAAAAAAAAAAAGAACCTAGACACCATATTTCAAGAAATTATCAAGCAAAACTGCCCTGATATTCTAGAAGCTAAGAGTAAAATAGAAATTCAAAAAATCCACTGATCACCTCCTAAAAGAGATCCTAAAATGAAAACTCTCAGGAATATTATAGCTAAATTCCAGAGCTCCCAGGTCAAGGAGAAAATATTGCAAGCAGCCAGAAAGAAGCAATTTAGTAGCTTCTACATTAAAGGTCCAGCAGGCAAAGGAGCCAAGATCACAACCAAGAATCACCTACCCAACAAAACTGGGTATAATCTGTCAGGAGAGAAAAAAATGGACATTTGATGAAAAGAGCAGAGCTGAATAGAAAATGACTTTCACATGCAAGACTCAAGAGAAGCAGAAAAAGGTAAACAAAAAGGGAAATCATTAGTGACTTAAAAAGGTTAAATTGTTTACATTCCAATATGGGAAGATGATACTTGTATATATAGTATATATACTATATATATAGACACTCTATATATACTATACTATATATACTATATATAGTATATATATACACACTATATATATACTATATATAGTATATATATACACACTATATATACACACTATACTATACTATATACTATATATAGAGAGTGTATATATAGACAGAACACAGGTGTGAGTTGAATATGAAGGTATGATACCTAAAAAAATAAAATTAAGAGGTGAGAGAGGAATGCACTGTGGGAAAGGGAAACAGAGAGGTAGAATAGGGCAAATTATCTTGCATAAAAGAGGCAAGAAAAAGCTTTTACAGTGGAGGGGAAGATGGGGAAGATAAGGGGGAGTGAGTGAACCCTACTCTCATCACAACTGGCTTAAAGAGGGAATTGTTAACATACACACTTAATTGGGTACAGAAATCCATCTTACCCCATAGGAAAATAGGAACGGAAGGGGAGGGGAGAGATTGACAGAAGGAAGGGCAGATTGGTTGAGGGGGTAGTCAGAAACAATAATTTTGAAGAGGGACAGGGCAAAAGCAGAGGGAGAGAGGGAGGGAGAGAGAGAATAGAATAAACACAGCTGTATTTGCACAGTAACTGTGAAAAATTTTCAAGCAAGTTTCTCTGACAAAGGCCTCCTTTCTCAAACATATAGAGAACTGAGTCAAATTTATAAAAATAAGAGATATTCCCCAATTGATAAATGATCAAAAGATATTAAGGTTTCAGATGAAGTAATCAAAGCTACCAATAGCTATATGAAAAAATGCTCTAACTCACTACTTTTTTTTTTTTAAGGTCTAACTCACTACTGATTGGAGAAATGCAAATTAAAACAATTCTGAAGTACTACTTCATACCTACTAGATTGGCTGACAGGACAGAAAAGTATGTTGGAGGGCACATGGGAAAAAATCAGACATTAATGCACTGCTGGTGAAGTTGTGAATTGTATAGCAATTTGGAACTATGCGCAAAAGGCCATAAAACCCTGTATACCCTTTAACCTAACAATATCACTACAGGTCTGTATCCAAAGAAATAAAAAACAAAAAGAAAAAGGAACTATATATACAAAAATATTTATAGTAGCTCTTTTCTGGTGGCAAAGAATTGGAAATTGACAGGATGCGCATCAATTGGGGAATGGCTGAACAAATTGTGGTGTGTGATTGTGATGGAATACTATTGTACTATAAGAAATGATAAGTGGGATGCTCTCAGAAAAAGAACTACATGAGCTGATGCAAAATGAAATTTATTGCGTACAAAGTAACAGCAATATTGTAAGATGATCAACTGTGAATGATTTAGTAATTCTCAGCAATACAATGATCCAAGACAACTCTGAAGGACTTGTGATGAAAAATGCTATCCATCCCCAGAGAGAGAACTGATGGTGTCTGAATACAGATTGAAGGATACTTTTTTTACTTTATTTTTCTTGAGGTTTTTTTTTGTCTATGCTTTCGTTCACAACATGATTAATATGGAAATACTCTACATGACTACACATGTTTAACCTATATCGGATTGCTTGCCTTCTCAATGAAGGGGAATGGGGAGGGAAGAAGGGAGAGAAATTGAAATTCAAAGTTTTAAAAATGTTAAAAATTGTTTTTATGTGTAATTGGGGAAAAACAAAATATCAAATACATTTTTTAAAAAAGAATAATTACTGAGAATTCACAGATCATAAATTTGGAACCAAAACTGAAGCCCCGGAAAGTGATTTTACTCAAGGTCAAACAGGTAGGGAGAAGATATCCTCTGATTCCAAATCCAGACCACTAAGGTTCCAAATCTTACAAAACAGAATATATGCAGGTACTGCTTTTATTAGAGAATAGCAGGGCTAAGGGAAATCATAGCACTGTTTAGTAGCATTATAGCACAAGAAGCTAGCGGAGATCACCTTTCATAAAATATGTTCCCCACTGGCTTGTAAAAGTTTCCTAAAATTCCAGCCTTAACATTCCCACCACCTGTCCTCCCCCCTCCCCCAAAACCCTACCATCTCACTTTCCCTTTCTGTAAAATGGCAGCTATAATAGGACAAATACACTGGTTTTATCAGACAAGAGGGAGGGACAACCCATGTCTACAGATCCTCTTTAGACACACTTCACCTAGGACTGGTTTTAAGTATTAAAACAGAATTTTAATTCCTATTAAAAGAGTTTATTTGACTTCCTCATGAAAGTTCAATATCTAGTTTGTGCAGGGCTTGTGTTTGGCACTGTTAACTAGCAACCAATAGATGCAGGATACCACTTACATATAAGCAATTACTACAGATTAGAATGTGATATATGAACAGGGGATGATCAGAGTGGGATGAATGACTAGGAGAGGCTGGGGTCCAGAAAGAATTGGATAACGATTTATGGAGCAGGTGACACCTGAGCTGGGCTTGGAAGGAAGAGGAAGACTTTAAATAAACACAGTATAAAAAAAGTATGTTCCACACATAAGGGATTGTCTGCACAAATGCAGTGAAGATGGAAAGAGAAGACACAAGTCCAGGAAGCAGTAGTAACTTAGCTGAAATGTAAAGGAAGATAAGTGAATGCAGACCACGTAAGAAAACATATACTTTTCCAAGCCAACAACTAGGACGAGATACTCAGATGTGACTTATGTAAAGTGTTAAATTAAAAGATTTTCTGTGTAAAAGATTTCAAATTATAAATAAATTTAGAAATAAAATTTTCTATTATCTTTCAATGTTTTATATTAAATTCATCAGGTGAAACACCAAATGTTAGCTGTCTCTTTAACCATGGTATTCGAGGAAAACCTGTGTTGAAGTATCAGAATCTCAATAATATGTAATACATGTTTACCTCAAGGAAGTCAAAGATAGAAAGAAAGGTCCCATACATATCAAAATACACATAGTACCACTTTCTATAGTAGTGAAGAACTATAAAGAAAGTATATATCCATCAACTAGGAAATGGCTAAACAGATTGTAGTATAAGAAAAGTAATCTAATATTACTATTCTGTAAGAAACTATGAACAAAGAATTCAGAAGCATGAGAAGACTTATATGAATTGATGTAAAGTAAATTAAGAGCCAGGAAAATATTAAAGATTTTAACAATTTAAGTGAAAAGAAAAAGAAATGATGTTATGCAATGATAATGACTAAGATTGGCTTCAAAGAAGAAAAAAATGCCCCCTTTCCTTCCTTTTTTGTAGAAGTGAGGAACTATGAGTGTGAAATACTATACACAACTGTTAGACTGGGCTGGTGTACAGATTAGTTTTCCTGAATGGGTTTTCTTCCCTCTTTTTACTCTTTGTTACAAAGACAAAGGGAGAAATGTATTGGGAAATTAAGATGAAATGAAAACAAAGAATGTTAGCAAAAATACACTTTAAAAAAAGGTAACATGTCAATAAGGAACCAAGAAATAAATTATATTATTTTTCATATGTTGTATACACTCAGCATGCAGATTTTTTTTTCTTTTGTTCCTTTAGCTAGGCTGAGATCTAAACACTGAAAATAGTTCATTTAGGCAAATTCTATTATCAAACACATGCACTGAAACTCAATACTCACTGATTTGAGCAATCTGATTTCATCCAGGGCTGTTTCAGTGTAATGTTCAGCACTTTTCACTACTTTCATTGCCACAAATTTCTTCCCCCTACGGAAGAGACAGAGCCAATTAATCCTAAAATGGGACGAAACCATGTTAGAATTGTAGAAGGAAGTTAAGAGGAGGACTTTATAAAAGACCACTATAAATACTTATCTGGTTTTCCCTCTGTAATCAAATACTTTCTATCTGAGGTAACTAATACCCACCCTGGGTATATAAGTCAGCTTTTATTTACATTTTGTTCTCAGGGCTTTGTTTCTTCATTTAGATTTTCTCTATATGCTGACTTCCACATTCTTTGTCTCCCTTTACCCTGAACACAGCTACTACAATAAAAAGAGGTGGTCCCAAAGCAGGCAGTATAAGCTCTGACACCTTCCTTACCTAGGCATAAATGATAAATTTGCAGCCGGTTACATATAGCAGAAGAGTGTCAATGTACTTTGTATCATGACAAAAGCAGATCATGTAGCACTAAAGTTCTCATCATTTAACACTTATTTCTATGGTTAAAATTGTGACATCTGGGGACCATCACTGAATAACTTTTAAAAACCCTAAAAAAACCAAACCAAACCAACAACAACAAACACACACATTAAAAAAACTAAAAAGAGGAGAACAAGTTTGCTCACTGATAATCTCAATATCTGTGTGCTGATTTTGGAGTCCCACTGTTTAACACTGTCAATACTTTTTAGGAGAAAAAGTGTAACTTGTATAGCCAAGAAACTCTATCCTAGAGAAAAATTGAAATTGTAAGAGGAAATACTAAAACAGAACATTTTCTTTTCTACTTTTATTGTTTTGGATACCTGGTACACTTAAAAAGTAATTAGCTTCAAATTAGTAGTGCTAGAGGGAAAGAATTTTTATTATTTTACACACCAAATTACACATTTCATGTTTTTAGGAGGTCAAAATACTTCATGGCTCTTTTTTCAATTACCTCTTGTCTCTGAGGTTACTATAATTCCATTTTATAGGAAGAGAAGCAGTGGTTAAGTTATTTGCCCAAAGGCATAAAGTTCATTAAAGGTAGATGTTAAGAATGACAACCCAGTGTTTTGTACAGAACAAAAAAAATCAAGACAATGACTACACTGACTCCTAAAACTTACTGAATGTCCCATGATAGCCATACTGTTGAAAAATGTCCCCAACCCAGCTTTCGGATCACATGGTATCTGCCATTGAACAGGTCTCCAATTTTCACAAGATGATAACCCCCTAGAAGAAACAAGGGTGGGAAGTAGAGAGGAGAGAGAAAAGTCAACCTCCTTCCGGTTACAGATTTTAATTCAAAAAAGGGTAAAATTCATTCTCTGTAATACTTAGAAAAAGGAATTTAGACCTATTCCCTTCCCTCCAATTATCTGTATACTTGCAGAGGATAAGTTTCATTAGGATGATATAATAGAGAATCTTCTTCAATGTATTTCTATAACATACACACACTTAACAGATGAAATCCTTGACAAACTACTGGTTTCATGATACTGGTAAGCTACACACAATAAAAAGAAATGCTTTAAAGGTTCGAGAATGCTTTATGAGAGAATAGGATAGTTGTCCTCAAACTAACGTCATCTACAAAAGATTGGTTTTATACATCTAGGATCTATCAAAAGATAAATATAGATCTCTTAATGCACTGTAAATGGAACTATGAACTGGCCCAACCATTCTGGGAAAGCAATTTGGCATACCACCCAAAAACTATTAAACTGTGAATACCCTTTGACCCATGTATGTACATATTTATAATGGGCTTTGGGGTTTTTTGTCGTCCTACTAGGGGAGAGGAGAGGATGTTTAGGAGTGGGGAGAGAAAGGGAGAGAATTCAGAACTGAAAGTCAAATAAAATTCGGTAAAAAAAAAATTTAAGGATGTATCTCAAACACTCATACTTTACATTAATAACCCCTTATTGAGTTAAACCTATCCTAAAGTCTTATTCCAGCATCCAATCTTAGGGACAGGTAAACATAGTCCCAAAGATTATACCTCAGGAGAACATGTGCTTCCAACAGTTTCTACCAAGCTGGAAAGATTTGCCTAAGTGTGGAAAGACTCCTCATCAGAGGAATGACCATCAATGATTATTTCTTTCGGCCACAGCAATTCATGACATCTATCTATTAAGATGTGAGTACTCACATTTGTGAAATTATGGATCTTTCAAAAGTACTTAAATATAGGTCTATTATACATATACACATACATACATACATACACACATACATACATACATCTTCTGGCTATGGCCAAAAAGAAGCAATTATTTTATCTTCCTGGTGATGCTACATGGTTTTGAATAATAAAACTTCATGACTTTGGAAGAATCAAAATTACAATCAAACTAAAGGACAAAGGGAAAGATGCATGGGAAAATAAACAGGCAACACTCTGTGTGTTGTAGACATGGACAAGAATCTTAAAGGTTGAAAAGGAGCATAATGGTTTATGATTGGTACTAGTGGAGGCAATGCTTACATCAGTGAAACCACACAGACAAAAGTTTGAATTAGCAAATTTATGAACAAATTCAGTTTCCTGTGTCTGAGAAATGGAAATAGAAGCAAGTAGAAACCTGTTTGGAGAATATTTTAAAAGCATGAAAATGGAATCAAATAGGTGTGATGTCTGCCTCCTCATATAAAGGATCTTACCTTTACAATAATCATTAGGATCCTCTTGTTCATCATCATCTGACCCTAGGATTTCTTCCTCTTGTTCTGGGAGATCATTCTCAGAATGACAGACAGGGCCTCTGTGCTGAGTTTCCGGTCTAACAAAGAACAAACCATTTCCAGTTCAATTCCATTTGAAGGAAGAGGAAGTAGATTAATATTTATCCAAGAATATTTTTATCTCCTTTTCTCTAAATTTTATCAGACAATGAGGCAGTAAAGGAAGTACATTCTGCGAAGGTTGGTGAAACACTTAACTAGAGAGCTTTTTATTTTGTACATGAATAGCACTAGCATAATGGTAATCTTTGAAAAATACAAAGAGATCTACACCCAGTTGGAGTAGGCAGTGACATATCGCACGATCTAATACTGAGAAGGCAAATTTCAAGAGGTCAATTCTCTTAAGGGAGCTAATGAACATGTGGAAGCAAGGCTGAGGGGAACAGGAGGAAATAGGGCATTCCCACAAAGAGGGAATGGGAGACAAATTGTTAAGGAGTCTAGATTTTCCAAGTTGTATCAGAGAGTAAACAAGTAAGCTTGGTTGGATCAGTGGAGTTAAGTTGGGAAAACAGGAGATGAAGTTGGAGAGGTACAAAGTAGTTAATTATGAGCTTTAAATATCAGAATATGGAATTTGGATTTGATACAGAATATGATAAAACTATTTTTTAAAGCAAGGAAATTAGACAACACAGAAGAAGTTTTGGAATAACTTGATAACAGATGATTATGGTAGACGTTGTCACGGTTCCCCAAAGTCCCATTAAATCTACACAATTTCTTGGCTTCATCTGACTCCTATCCTGTTCTGATCTGCTCTGGCATTCACATGTACTGCCAACTCCTGTATTCTAGGCACACTCCTTATGACTGTCCCTCAAAACTACTTCACCAAAGAGTTAGGAAGAGTGGAGGGAAAGTGACAGTTACCATCTGGAATGTGAGATATTCCCAACTTGGGGTGGGAAGTTTGAATACAATGTTTTAACAACTTTATCGTAAAACACTGGTTGCAACAACCGTCTTACAGAACTCGATGAGTATCCTCCACTATGATACAGAATCTCAAATCTTTCAGCTCCAGACCTGAGCCATCTTACCCATTTATATTCACGTTTAACCATCACAAAACTAAGCAGGTTGTTCAAACTTTCCCCTTTTCTCCTTTTACCATACCATAACATGCAAGAACATGTTAATCATTGTATTAAAGTATTTGTTTTAAATAAAAGAGACTTTTTGCCAACAGACATAGTAACTCTTGAAAGTTTTTTTTTTTTGAAGATCATTTAAATAGTTATACAAATGATACTTGTCTTCTTAAAATTAAGCTTCTGGTCATTATAGGTGAAATGGTTTCTTTTATGACTAAGTGCTAACAAAGTAATATAGTCAATGTTTTCCACACAACACCTTGACAAGATCCCTGCATTTGCGTCTCAAAGAAGTTACCAGAAATATTCAGCAAGGCCACACATATGATGCAAATACCTACAATCTTTGCTCTAAGTGAATAAACTTACCATGTTACTCATTATACGTTATTTACCAGACCCACTCACTCAACATCAAGAAGTCCAGGGAAGTTACACTAGGCCAAAAAGACAAAACCAAAACCAAAAAAAATTCCCAAACTAACAAAAACAAAAACCAATACCCCAGCAAATCAATTCTCTTCGACACGTTAATCAAATATTTATCGCACCTCAGTCATATAACTACTCAAAAAACACCGAAGTATAATGTAAACAGCACTGAACTAGTAACTCCACAATAGGAGTGAAAGCTTTTGCTCTGCTGTCACTTAAAAGCTGTGTGACCTTTGGCAGGTTGCTTCTTTTCTCTTTGGACTCCAATATTCGATGCCTAACTTACCCTCCCCCTTAATAAGATAGTTGCAAATATTAAAATGATTTAAGGTATGTGAGATATGAAATGCTATAACTATAAAGTACTAAGAATGTAAGGAATAATTATTATTATAAATTCATCATGGCCTGGATATAATATTGAATTTTCCTTAACCTAGGTAGATTCTGGAAAGCACAAATACCTGGTATAAAATAAAACACCAGAGCCACTTATCATGCTTCAAGTACTGTTAAAAATCAGGTCTCCTGAAAGGAAATAAACACTCCTATAAACAAACATCACCTCTTTCTTTGCACAGAGGCAGACTATCTTATCGCAGGAAGACCAAAAAGAAAACAAAGCGCTCAACTGCTTGCTTATATTTAATATGCAAACTATTCATTTAAAAAAAAACACACCTCTAAAAACATTATCTGATCTACAAGGTTAGTATATGTGAATTTGGTAACCAAGAGCTTGAATAACTTACAAAAACATTGCTTTTATATAGATATATACACACACACACACATATAATATATAAAACATATATCATATATATAAAATCACTAATTTCTTAATTTCAACATCATTTTTTTCTCTCGTTAATTACAATACTTACATTTGTAGCATGTTTTTGCTGTTCCTAAAATCACATTTACAAGGGAGGCAAACATCTAGACCTGCACTTCTGTATATAAATCAGAATAAGCTTTTGTGACCTCTGCATAAGTGCCCTGTTCAGAAAATGACACCCTTGCTCTTCAAAAAGGATCAAATAAAGAAAAAAAATTAACAAAATAAAAAAGTACTCTAACATACCTGCATGAAGCTCGGATTCCCATTGGCAAAAGAAGGTCAAAAGATTGTTGAACAGTTTTAGAAAGAGCCATTAACAATCAAGCACCAGCTTGTTTAATCAGCCAACACGCACACACTGCAGGCAGAGGGCTGCTTTTTCTTGCACACAGCAGATCTTGTGAATGAAAAAAGCCATGTCTCCACCACCTAGCTGCAGATGCACAGCACTGCATTGCAGGTGAGGGAACTCACAGTACAACTGAAGGGCTTACCAGTTCCTAGGTCAATTTAGTTATCTAGCTTTAATAAGTTCTCACCTTTTCCTTTTAATCTGTAGGAACTATTTAAAAATTCCTACAAATTTCTTTGAAAATTTTTTCTTAAACAGGAACCATCACCAATGTGTTGTTTTAAAAAATTCAAGTCAACAGGACTCATTCATTGCCTCCACTGAGATTTTCATAAAAACCAAAAGCCTACTTCTTTTGTGAGAGCAATTAAAATTTAATAAAGTCTTCTAAAATTACTGAAACACCAACCAAAAAATGCAAAAAAAGTATGTCCAAATGTCAGAATTTGGTACAACACAAGTCTGCTTTGAACTCCAACCACGGAAATTTTTTAAAACCACAGAAGCATAGCCATTAGAGCTACAAGGGATCTTTTACACCATCATTGCATCAGTCCTCCTCAATTTAAAGATAAAGAAAATGAGGACGATTCCTCACCAAAACCTGGTTGTGTCTATACCATGGGCTCCCCCAAACCAGGTTATAGTAAATCTACAGAGTACTTTCATGAATCCTGAATCCTTATATTTGCAATTTCATATGGGCTAGGACACACAACAGACTGGCAATTTAATGACTACTTGGAAATAACCTCAGGCTATATAAAAAAAACTCTCCCATAAAACATTCTAGGTATATGACCTATTTTTTTTTCTTATAACAAGACTATATAAATTTTTTTAACTTTAAATTCCAGTATGCACTTAATATTCAACTTATTTGGATTTCTAGTTCTTTTATTAAATTCAGTACAGATTTTAGGTCAATTTCATTGGTGCAGGAGGGATACTAGGAAGCTATAATTTTCATGAGTGGGCATAAACACTTATATTTATAAACTGTACATTATTTGTTCTGTAAACTGTCCATCTATAAACTGCCCTTACTAATTTATACTTCTGATTTTGAATCAGCTCCTTGTGAATTCTCTATTTTATGCTTTTTATACAGTAATATTTTATCTTCTATGACTTAGTAGGGCTTCCCTAGGTCAATATGGTGATAAGCTTTGCTGAAGCAAGCCTAGTCCTGGGATAGGCATATCCTGCTACCAGGACAATACTTGATAATTTATAGAACACCTACCAGGAGGCTGGTATAGCTTTTACTTGCTGGCCACAATGAGGCAGGTTAGGATTTTAATGAAAGCTTTTAAATATTTATCACACCCTAATGGGTTATTTTTCATTTCATCTTATTTATTGTCATACAAAATATAATCACACTCAGTTTTCTCATTTTTTAGACGAGGCAATTTAACTAGACAACCAGAAGTCCTTTCTAACACTAAAATGGGGATCTAAGAAATATACCTACTTTGACTTCATAATTTCTTCTCTTTGTTAAAAAAAAAAAAGTTTCTTAAAAAACATGCCCTAACATATAACAAGTGCTCTGGATTTTAGAAAACAGTCTTTAAATTCCAAAGGACTCATAATGGAAAATGCTATCTACCCCCAGAGAAAGAATTATGGAGTCTGAATGCAGATCCAAAGCATACTATTTTTCACTTTATTTTTATGTTTTCTTTCACAACACCACTAATAAGGAAATATGTTTTGCATGATTGCACATGCATAACTTATATAAAATTGCTTATTGTCTCCAGGAGAGATGAGGGGAGAGGATTAAAAAACAAAACAAAAACAAAAAAACCAAAACCCATGAATATTAAAAAACTGCTTTTACATGTATCTGCGGGAAAAGCAAAATAATATTTTTTAAAAACAGTCTTTATATTAGATTGTTTACATGTAGAAGCACTTAGGTGGTTCAGTGGAAAAAGCCAGATCTGGAATCCAAAGACTTGAATTGAAATCCAACCTCAGACACTTTTTAGCTATATGAGGCTGGGCAAGTAAGTCATTTAATCTGTCAGTCCTAGTTTCCTTATCTGTAAAATGGAGATGATTATAATAGCACTTACTTCCCAGACTTTAAGAATAAAATGAGATAATATTTGTAAAGTGCAATGCTAGCTTAAGAAAATTAAACCATTTGAAAAATGGCAAAATGAAGCCAACCCAATAAAACGGCAAAAACAAAATTGATCTTTCCAGTGCCTAAACCATTCTCCAGGAGGGAATTAAGCAAATATTTGGTTTCAACCCCAAGAGTATAACACATTTGTACCAGTCATTTACTAAATC